TGAGGATCAAAGCAAAGTTAGTTTCGTGACGAGCAAGGGGACATACTGTTATGTCGTGATGCCTTTCGGACTCAAAAACGCAGGGGCAACATACCAAAGACTGATGGATCGGATGTTTAAATCGCAAATCGGTCGAAATATGGAAGTTTACGTGGATGATATCTTGGTGAAAAGCAAATCTTCGATCTCGCATGTGGAGGATTTGAGGGAGACGTTTACAACACTAAGAACGTTTGGAATGAAGCTAAACCCGAGTAAATGTGCCTTTGGAGTAAAAGCAGGACGATTCCTGGGCTACGTCGTAACTGAAAGGGGGATCGAAGTAAATAAGGACAAAGTGCAGGCCATACTCGACATGACCCCACCCAAGAATGTCAGAGAGGTGCAAGTCCTGACAGGACGAATTGCCGGCCTAAGTCGATTCATAGCCCGGGCAGCGGAAAAAAGTTTCCCATTCTTCAAGTTACTTAAGAAAAAAGCTTTCCAATGGGGAGACGAGGCTCAGATGGCGTTTGAAAAATTGAAGGAGTTTTTGAGCGAGCTGCCGTTGTTAACAAAGCCGGAGCTGGGCGATGAGTTAGTACTCTACATCTCGGTGGGAATCTTGTCTTTGAGTTCCGTTTTGTTAAGAGAAGCTGAAGGGGCCCAGCAGCCGATCTATTATACAAGTCGAGTGCTCCATGGTGCAGAAGCAAGGTATTCTGAAGTCGAAAAGGCTGCATTAACATTGGTACTCACAGCCAGAAAGTTGAGACCATATTTTTTGAACCATGTAATAGTAGTAAGAACAAACTTCCCGCTTGGTGAGACACTCGGCCGGCCTACAGTGTCGGGTCGACTGGTGAAATGGGCAGTCGAACTCAGCGAATTCTCCATCAAGTACGAACCCCGACGGGCTATAAAGGCCCAAGCTCTAGCCGATTTTATTCAAGAAGGAACTAAAGGAGCGAGCAAGAAATGGATTATGCACGTCGACGGGTCCTCATCAGCCAGGGGATCTGGTTTGGGGATAACCCTAGTATCCCCAGAAGGCGAACAGCTCGACTTCTCCATTAGAATGGGGTTTAAAGCGTCAAATAACGAAGCAGAATACGAGGCCCTAATTAAGGGAATCCAGCTGGCAATCGCAGGGGGAGCAACAGAGATCATGGCGCATTCCGATTCACAACTAGTTGTGGGGCAAGTATTGGGAAATTGCGAAATCAAAGAAGATCGAATGACAAAATATGTCGAAGAAATTCAGAATCTAGTGCAGGGTTTGGACAGCTTTGAGCTAACACAAATACCCCGGGAGGAAAACAAGCGGGCCGACTGGCTAGCGAGAATTGCGAGCTCGAATGAGGGAAAGGTGGGGAACCATATTACCACACTACACTTGGAAGGAAGCGTCCTAAATGAGACAATGGAGGTCAATGAAAGCCTAGATTGGCGAAAGGCAATTCATGAGCTGTTACAAGGGCGAGTGCCAGAAGGGGACAAGCAGGAAGCTGAAAAAGTAGCCCGGTATTTGAGTAAATATTTCGAAATCGAAGGAATCTTATACAAGAAGTCGATGATCGGGCCCCACCTGCGATGCGTCTCAGAAAAAGAAGGAGACCATGTCTTAAAAGAGATACATGAAGGATGTTGCGGGGCACATTTGGGATCACGAGCCCTAGCCGGTAAAGCCCTTCGAGCAGGCTACTATTGGCCCAATATTCGGAAAGCAGCTGAACGATTAGTACAAGGATGCGATAGATGCCAGCGCCATGGTCAAATCCCCCACGTTCCAGCAGAAACAATGACGACAATTAGCTGCCCGATCCCCTTTGCACAATGGGGAATCGACTTGGTGGGCCCAATGCCAATGGGAACGGGGCAACGGAAATTTATGGTCGTCGCTGTCGACTACTTTAGCAAATGGGTGGAAGCAGAACCTCTGGCAAAAATCACTGAAGACAAAATGATACATTTCCTGTTCAACAATATTTGCTGTCGATTTGGGATCCCAAAAATCTTAATCTCAGATAATGGGACGCAGTTTCAGGGAAAGCGAATCCAAGCATGGTGCGTCGACATGGGGATTAAACAACGGTTCGCATCGGTTGTGCACCCTCAGGCGAACGGCCAAGTCGAAGTGACAAACAGAACCATCCTGCAAGGGCTGAAGAAAAGGCTAGAAAAAGCGTCTGGTTCCTGGGTCGACGAGCTGGCAACAGTCTTATGGGCCTACAGGACGACCCCAAGAAGTTCAACAGGGCAATCACCATTTCACATGGTTTACGGAATGGACGCCCTATTACCCATCGAGGTCGGTTTGGAATCTCATAGATCGACATTCTATGAGGAAAAGATCAACGAAGAGCTAGCAAGGGAAGCCCTCGACATGATAGAAGAAACGAGAGAGGAAGCCTGGCTGCGGTCTGTAGAATACAAGCAAAAGATGCGGGCAGCCTTCGACAGGAAAGCCCGCACCAGGCGTTTCCAAATAGGAGACCTTGTCCTCAAGCGAGCAGATGCTCTCAAACATGTCGGGAAGCTTGAAGCCAACTGGGAAGGGCCGTACACCATCACCAAAGTACTTGAGAGAGGCGCATATGAACTCGAAGATGGCGAAGGGCGACAGCTGCCGCGATCCTGGCACGTGATTCATCTCAAACGCTTTTATGCTTGAAAATTTCAAAACTCTTTGTACTGAGCAACGGTTAATCAAAATCAGTAATGCAATTTATCAAATTTCGTGTTTATGATTTTACATTTTCATGATGATTTATCATACTTAGAAAAATAAAATCTCGCAACGACGGAACCGAGTAGCCAAAAGCCGATAAAAAATAACAAGTTATTTGCCTCGAGCGAAATCTCGGCAAGGCTATAAAAGCCCGCGACTATAAAAGTCGACTCAGAGCAACAAAAGTTGCACTCCTCGAGTAAAATCTCGGCAAGGCTAAAAAGCCCACGACTATAAAAGTCGACGCAAGCAACAAAAGTTGCACTCGAGTAAAATCTCGGCA